TAGCTGTGACAAAAATATTTTATTTCTCTAACAGCCTTCAGTATGTTGTGTCCAAGCTTACTCTAAATGGATATGTTCCATCCTGCAGCATGCACATGTAGGATAAAGCAGTTTTTGTGATGGTGTTGTTTTCCTATATGCAGATCACAGCCACTTAGGAAATCCTGTGCCATTTGCTGCTTCTCCCGCTCCAGCACCTGCTATGGGTACCTCAACCTGCTTCGCTGAAGGCCCAGGCATGAGGATTAGCAGGAAGCTTCAATCTTAACAAATTAACAACACCACCAATGCTATTTTTAGGTTGAAAAGTCTGGTACTGTTTCTAGAAAACCATGTGACAACTGATATTCTTTTCATGGAAGATTCATTTTAACATAGGGAAAGACACCAAACAGATTCTATGTTCAGGGTTGCTTGTTGTTTCTCAAGTTGATTCATGAAAACCCACTGCTCCATCTCCCTTCCGTAGATGGTGCAAAGATGCAAAATGCAATTTCAGATTCGGTTAGAGAAAGATGATGCAAACCACATTGCAGCTGATGCACACAGTGTTGAATAGCATTGGCATATATGCAGCCAGTGATTTTTAGTATGTTAAACATTTTTACATTATGCTTTTATTTGGTTGTACTTTGGATTTTAATGTTAAGTGAACTGCCCAGAGTGCTTTGGCTTAGGGCAGCATTAAATGAATGAAATTAAATTAGTCACAATTAGGAGCAGCATTATATCATTTTTCCTATATTTACACCAGTGTTGCCATTTTATTACATTGCATTTTATTATGTTCTAGCATAACTGACCTATTTTTAGAGCATCTAAACTTAGGATGGGCTTCTAATTTGATATAGCATATATCACTGTTTTACATTGCAAACCACTTTGTGAAGACTGCAGTTCTGAAAAATAGCTAATAGCTAAATAAATAAATGTGGCGCCATACAGAGAAAGGTGCTGGTAGTAGTTCAGCCAGTCCTGCTGAATTTTTGACCACCGACATGGGGCAATACAAACCAAAACAAATGGAGAATAAAATCACAAGAGATTCTGCAAACATGAAGTTAGAGAAATGTGGGGAGTTCTTAAAATATGTGAGCATGTAGGCCTCACCAAAAATTCTTCAAAAGGAGTCTATGGGTTACCCAGAACCCTATAGCCTATATCTCCACATATCAAAGCCAGGGTAACCATGACCCATCACAATCTTAGGGTCTGAAAAGTGGGCAAGAGATAAAGGTGGAAGAATCTTTCCAGATGCTGGTATTACCTGAGGGCCAGCCTAGGGCTGACCCAGTCCAGTGGTAGAGCACTTGCTTTGCATACAGAATGCCCTGAGCTGAACGAACAGCATCTTCAGGAGGACTGAGGGAGACTCCTTCTTGAAACCCTGGAGAGCCAGTCAGTATAGACAGTGCTGAGATGGATGAACCAAGGGTGTGACTCAGTATCAGGCAGATTTCTGCAGCTTTGGAGAGCCTCCTGCTTGCGTGTTGTTGAAGTTTGAGGCAACCTTGGGGGTCCTGCTCAGACTGGGGGCGGTCATAGCTCTAACAGAGATTCAAGTCTTTCCCACTGTGCCATTTGCCCAGTCAAAATTTCCCTGCCCCTCAAACTTATATTTGCCCCATCCCAGGGAAACATATGGGCACTATATGGGTAGCTGTGTATCTCCCCAGCCCTGACCCATAAGGCAAAGAGTAGGCTATTTAAATTGGAAGGAAGTCTGTTGCTGGTGAAATATCGCCCAGGATCACAGCCCTGATCCATATCAGAGGGCCCTCAACTGTTTTAACTTGGATTGTATTTTTAAACAGGAAAGCCTGCTTACAGATCTGTCACATGGCTTTAGGTCTAGCTTTAGCCAGAAGTGGAAGTTACACACACTGGAGTGTGAAACAACTGGCTATAGGTGGGCCAGCTGAGAGCAACTGCGCCGGAGTACATGGTAGCTCTTTGTTCTGACTGCAGTAGGTGCATTGTAATGCTGCACTGACTTGACAATGCTGAGAGGGACCACAAGTTTTGCTAGAACTCCCACAACTATTTGTTAGCATCTGGTACCTTCATGCTCACCTTCATCTTGCTCAGGTATGCAATAGTGAATGCATCTTCCTATATCCCTGGTCAAGACCTCGTTGTACCTGGTGTAAGCTGGGGTCCTGCAACAGCAGGGGGTTGGACTCGATGGCCTTCATGGCCCCTTCCAACTCTACTATTCTATGATTCTATGACATGGGGAAATTCCCCCTAAAAAATTCTGAGGAGGAGGCAGCCCAAACAAAGGCTAGCCTAGGAATCCCAGGGACCCTAACCTACAGCCTTTTCTTTTTATTTTTCAGTACCAGGTTTGGCAATGCCGTTTGGATGTGTTACCCTGGGAGATAAGAAGGATTATAACCAGCCATCTGAGGTGACTGATAGATATGACCTGGGACAGGTCATCAAAACGTGAGTGTTCTGCTTCCTGCCTTGCTATTAAATTTTGACAAATAGAAGATCACAGCTACACAAATAGTTTAAGCCAGTACTGCTGCGGACTACTAGGTCTTCTGCAGATGGTTCTGTTTGGAAAACAAATATGCAAACAACAGTTGGGTGGCTTTCACCTCTGCCCCAGTAAGGAAGGCTTTTATTTAGTCATGCTGTCTGGGCATTTTTGGGGCATCTCTCTACTTCCTGCTCCACAACAAACGTGCATCAGGATTTACTGTGCCCTGGCCAGGGTTGCGCATCTCCTTTTACCTACAGTTGTATGTTGGGGGTCCTTTCGAACTCATCACAGAGGTGGCAGCACTGCCTGGAGTGCCTACAACTCTATCTAGGGAAGGGGGGCCTGGCCAAAATTCTGCATGTCCTATTTGCTTCCAGAATGGAGGCATACAATGCATTCCACATGGAGCTGCCTTTGAAGATGGATCAGAAACTTCGGCTGGTACAGAGAACCACAGTTGCTCTGATCTTCACTGAGTCTAAGATATTCAGATCATATTGCATCCATCTCATAACAGCTGCACTAGCTGTCATTGTGCTTCTAAGCCTAATGTAGTGCTGGTTTTGACCTTTAAAGCCATGAATGATCCAGACCAGGTTACTAAAGGACCACCTACACCTGTGTGTACCTGCTTGTGTTTGAAGAACATCTCTGGAGACTTGCTGCTTGCTGATCCACTATTAAAATCAGTAAGGATGAAAGGCACAAAAGATAGTGTCTTCTCAATTGTGGCCTCTCTTCCACTGAATTTCCTGAGAGAGATGTGGCTGGCCCCATCTGTAGCTGCTTTTAAGAAGCTTTGCAAAATTAATTTATTCTACCTTTTTCCAGATTTTTTTGGTAACTCACTGGCTGCTGATGGATATTTTGACATCATTATTTTGTTGGATCAGGTCTTCCTTACATGTGTTCCTATTTAACATGAGTTTATTAATGTGCATGCATTATTTTATACTGTAAGTCACCTTGGGAAGATGGTGGCCTTGAGAGATGGCTAAGAATGGTTGAAATAATAATAGGGGAGAGTGGAAACACAGTGGAAAGCACTGTCCCCCACTGTATGCACATAAGCTTGCACATCTGATGAGAGTGCCTGTGCATGTAGGTCTATCCACATAATCAGAGACTGTGCTTCCTGCAACTTTTCCATCCACATGTACAAGTATTTGCATGGTCAATAGCCACAGGCACATTGTAGAGATGCAAATGTTTATGGACAAGATGGGGGCCCAGCTCAGTGCTGTGGCCTGATCCCTCCTTACGTGTGTTTATTGTGTGCATGTAAGGTAATGTGCCTGATTCCATATTGAGTTCGTGGCTGAAATTTGAACCAGGGGCTTCCTGGCTCTTTACTCATACTCCCCCCATCCACCACACAGTTTATATTCCATAGGATCAACTTTTCCTGAACAAATATATTTACATACTAAAGGGCCTCTCCACTGAAAGTCATAAATTAGAACAAGTGTTAACTTTTTGGATATATTTCCCTATACCCGAACAAGCCAATAGGATTTGATGCTTTAAGATGAACAGTTGTTCATCTTCTGCTTTGCCCTGCACTGACTTCCCCCATGCCACCCCTGAATTGATATGCATGATTTTTGGCATCATCAAGGATCCATTGAAGGAACATAATATAAATCAGGGATCAGAAGCCTCAGGGTTGGAAGAAAAATTGAGCCCTTCAGGTTTACAGATGGCCACACCCCCTTCCCCTGGCATGAGTCCTTTCCTGCCAATCATCAATCTTAGGGTAGTTTCCTGGTTTTTGTGCAGCTCCTTTCTCCTCTAAAAGGTTAAAATGCCTCTCCTAAGGATTAATTACTGTTAGTAAGCACTTTAGGCCAAAACACATTAGCATTTTATCCCAGTGTACCTACTGGGATGTACCTCTTCCAAGAACTTCTCCACTAGGGAATCTGGACCTTGGGAGGAAGAGGTTCAACATCTCTGAGATGTCTACATCTCAACTGGGAGGGTAGGTAATTCACAAATTCACAAGTTGTTTGTTCTCTCTGTTGCACAGTTGGGTAGTTTCAGTCCTTGGACACAGCCTAAGATTAAGGTTGCTGCTGTTCTTTCCCCAGAGAGGAGTTCTGTGAGATCTTCCGTGCCAAGGAGAAAACAACAGGGAAGCTATATACATGCAAGAAATTTCTGAAGAGAGATGGGCGCAAAGTGCGGAAGGCAGCAAAGAATGAGATCATCATCCTGAAGATGTGAGTTGTGAATGGCCACGAATGTAGTTTCCTCGGCCCCTGATGTTTCTTAGCCTTTTACCTAGAGTAGCAGTTCATGATAGGATGGCTACATCGGCCGAACAGAGAACTGATCTGGACTTCCTCCAGTTATCCTGTTACAATCTAGAGTGGCTTTGAAATGTGTGCATTCAGTGAACATATATAGGCAAGATGAGCAATGTACATGGGATAGATGGGCCATTTTCCAAAAAAGGGTTATCGTTCACTGCTCACTGAGGACAGTACAAGGATTCACCTTTAAACGGTGCAGAAGCAAGTTTTGTCTAGCAATTACTTCCTAATTATAAAAGCAATAAAGAAACCAAAGAAATGGCCCAGAGTGCCTTGATTGCCTTTGGATGTGTTTCCAGGAAAAGCTGGACAGATATCTAACAAAATCCAACTGGCTATAGGACCCTATTTTAAGGCAGATACAAACTGCTGGGCCAGTTCATCTTTCTTGCCCACTAGCTTAAGCTCTTCTTTTTCTTTTCTCCACAGGGTTAAACACCCCAACATTCTGCAGCTGGTAGATGTCTATGTTACCCGGAAAGAGTACTTCCTCTTCTTGGAGCTGTAAGTAGGTGTTGCCCAAAACTCCTAAAGTGCCGCACAGGTTGCATTTTTCCCCTTTGCACTGCTGGGGCCCCTGAATTGTTCTTGTGAACCTGCTCAAATATCAACTGTCTTGTTGCCACTTCACTGGGTACCTTCCCAAGTTTTATCAGATCTTCCTATGCTCTTCCTAAAATCATCAAGAGGGAGGAAGGGAGCATAATATTTCTTTTCATTTCATCTTCACATCATTCCTGAATTTGCATTTACATGAGGGGAGAGCATAGCTCAAGGGCTGAATGCATGCTTTGCAGGCAAATGCCCCAGGTCCAATTTGTGGTTCTTCCAGGTTAAGTTAGGAACTATTCCTCTCTGAAGCCCTGCAGAGACACTTCCCATCAGTGTGAATCAGCATTCTCCAATCTGGTGCCCTCCAGATGTGCTGGACTACAACTCCCATCTATGCCAATGTAGACAGCTCCTCTATTGACTATAGATAACAAGTAACACACCAGGAAGGGATCTGCTTGAGGAAGGCTTTTATGCAGCTTCTTACTTTCCACTTTCTACTGCAGTTTGCAGTGCTCTCAGTCTACCAATAATAATTAAGAATCTGCTTCCCTGCCATGCCACAATGGTCCCAGTGCCAGTAATGCAAAGTGTGACAACATCCAGTTTCCCTTTTTTCCCTACTACTGCTCTTTGTCCCTTTGCTCATCTGCAGGGCCACTGGTCGGGAGGTATTTGACTGGATCTTGGACCAAGGATACTACTCTGAGCGTGATACCAGTAATGTCATCAGGCAGGTGCTGGAGGCTGTGGCATATCTGCATTCACTGAAGATTGTGCATAGGAATCTCAAGGCAAGTTGAACTATGAAATTAGCTGCCATGGGAAGTGGTGATGACTGCCAATCTAGGGGGCTTTAAAAAGAGATTGGACAAACTCATGAGGAAGGAGGTTACAGTGGCTACTAGCCTTGCTGGCTGTTTGCTACTTCCTTTACAAGAGGTGGCACGCCTGCATGCAGCAGCTGCTGAGGAGCTTGAGCAAGAGGAAGTCTTGCACCCATCCCACTTGAGGGATCCTGTTTGAAGCTGGTTTGCCACTGTGTGTATGGAGTGCTGGACTAGCTGGACCTTGGGTTGGATCCAGCATGGTGTTTCTTTTGTTCTGAAGTTGGTCAGCCTGCTAGTGTGTGCTGCAGAAACACTGGAGCCAGTCACTCACTAGCGGCCCCCATCCTCAGGCTTTCTTGATTCTATTTAAAAGCAGACAGAAGTAAACACAACTTTGCTCTCCTCTTCTTTCTCACAGTTTTCTATGGTTCAATGAGAAGTCCCATCCAAGTTTTTATAGCCAAAGCAAGGAGGAGGAGAGCAAAAGGAAGGAAAAAAGAAAGATGCTCTTTGCCCTGCTTAAGAGCACAGTACTTCTTTGTGGATTGAGCAAGACATGGCCCCAATCGGCAGCTTTGCCAGAACATTGGGCTGCTCTCCCCTTCCTTCTCTCATGCACAGCTTACCCTTCCCACTCTTTCCTGCTATGTTCCTGCAGCTAGAGAATTTAGTGTATTACAACCGCCTGAAGAACTCCAAGATTGTAATCAGCGACTTTCACCTGGCCAAGCTGGAGAATGGGCTTATCAAGGAACCCTGTGGAACTCCTGAGTACTTGGGTAAGATGTGGTACATGAAATCAATGATGTTTTAGCAGAAGAACCCACCAGGGGAAAAGAAAAAATGGCACTAAGACAAGCCCTGCAGTGAGCAACATGTGGGCGTCTGGATGTTGGACTGCACCTTCCATCCTCCATCCACATTGCCTATACTGGCTAGGACGGACAGAAGGTGCAGTCCCTCCGCTGCAGTCAAGCCCTCCAGCACAGGGTGTAAGGGCAACAGCCTTCTCCCACTGTGCTTCCTCAGCACTGGATACATACCTACCAACCTGCTTCCTGGCAATGGCTTTCCCACCTCAGGCACTAGTATCCTTTGTGCATGGATGAAAAGCACTAGGCACTGCTTTCTCCAGGAAACCCACAGAGCTGAGATCTATTTGGAAGATTTCCTGATGTAACAAGCCATACCACGTACCCTTTCATACTTCAGTGCAGGAATAATGGTGTTCTCCCCAGTTCACACTCATTTGTACAAAGCCATACCTGGTATTTCCACCCTCTGGCTAGCTTCCCCCCAACCCCACCCTGCACACACTCTTTTCCATTCTGCCTGATGAGGAATCTGGGGCAATTCTCTGCTGCTGCTGGGAGAAGGGAGCTAGTGTGCCTCAACGGGCAAAATCTTACCTGAGACTGAGGAGGGAAGGGGAGGGAGAGAGGTCTAGAGTCTGAATCAAATGCAGAGCTTGTAGGCAGCCTTGGGCAAATCACTCTCTTGCTCAACCTGGCTTCCCTCAGAGGTTGATGTGAGGCTAAAACACATTGAAGCTCTCAGTGGAAAGACAGGATAAAATGTAATAAACAATACCCTGTCGGCACCCTGATCAAGAATGCACTTTGCCTCTTCCTTCAGAGAGCTGCTGAAGCACAGCTTGTGAATCTGCAGACCCACTTGCCTGGTATTACAGCTTCCCAGCCCTTGTTCAGGGGTAGAACTGATCCCTCATGTTAAGAACAGAGGTCAATGCAGATGACATTTTCTGCATGGGGACGAAATTGTGCTCTTGGCACCGCACGGTCTCCACATGTTCAAGGTCCCACTGGCACAGAGGTCTGTGTGCACCATATGCCTAAATATGCATAGGCTCCAAATGTGCAATGTGTACCTTGCAAAAAATGAGGAGGCTGAAAAGAGGATCTCTCATAGCAAGGGTGTTAGATGTTTCTGAAACGATGGTTTCTTTGAGGATATGGATTCACCCCTGTATTATAAATCCCCCCTCCCCAGTTTCCTCACATGGAAAGTTAGTATGTCTGGAGAAAAAGGTATGACTTAGTCCTGATTTGCTAGTTATCTATTTGCAAGGTAATATATGTAAATTCTTATTTCTGCATCCTAAAGCAGCATAGTTCTAAGATGACTACATCACATAATTGATATTTCTAAATGTTCATTTCAGTGCTGATCAAGACAAATTTCTGAATGTTAAGTCTGGAGTTTTGTTTGGTTTTAATTTTTAATTTAATCCTAGCATATATAGCTTATTGTTGAAATAGCACTCACCCCTTCTTCTGTCCTTGTAGCTCCTGAAGTGGTAGGGCGCCAGCGATATGGGCGGCCCGTTGACTGCTGGGCTATCGGTGTCATCATGTATATTCTGTAAGTGAGAAGGAATGAAGGCATTGCATCATATGTTGGTGACTCTGATAGGGTGGAGGGAGGTCAGAAAATGAAACTGGATGAACATGAGGAGCCTGATTACAAAGGAAAAACAACAAGGAAATGTTTCTAGCAGCGGGATTGGCATAAACCCTTGGAAAGAGAGCTAAGGGCTTCATCCCATAGCAATGATTCACTACCATCTTTTGCAGCTAGTCTGCTTCCTAGAGCTAAATTTCCCTCCTATCTCTGTGCTACAGCTTGTCAGGGAATCCACCCTTCTATGAGGAAATGGATGAGGATGATTATGAGAACCATGACAAGAACCTGTTTCGTAAGATCTTGGCTGGTGATTATGAGTTTGATCCTCCCTATTGGGATGACATCTCACAGGCAGGTAAGGCTCCACCAATGGTCTGGAGTGGGACAGAAAGGAAAATCCATGCTATGGCTTGTAGAAGCACAGCCTCACAGTGTAGAAGTTTCACTGGTCCCATTATCCTGGCAATAGCCCCACAGTCATCAGTTCTCATTCTGTTCTCCACCATCTCATGACGATGATTGAAGCATTAACAAGAGCTGGTGCCATTCTAAGGCAGCTAACTTTGAGAAGCTTCTGCCCTACCAGTATATTCCCCATGGCCACCCTTACAAAGGGACGCAAGAGAAGATATTGCACAAGAAATGCATCTTAATAGTCTCACAGTACATACATACATATATACATACATACAGAGAGAGGCACCCAATTTGAAACTCATGGGAAAGATGCAGTAATTGCTCCTTATTGGCAGAAACTAGCTCCGTACCCTTAATTTTGGTTATGAAGAAGCTATGAGGAGAAGAAGGGTTAAGCAGCCTCTCTCCCTGTCATTCTTTCACTTTAAGTTGCAGCCTCCCAGGAATGATTTTCATTTAAGTAAGAAAAACTGGGAGACTTCTGCATAATATCCAGTCTAGCCCCAAGATGTCACAATTGCTTCAGAAGTAAGCAGCCTCTCCCTGTTATCTAAACCTCAAGTCCCCAACCATTTTGGGCCCATAAGCATATCTGGGAATTTGAGAAACTGCTGCGGCCACCATCACACAATGGCTCCATGCACAATATGTCTAGCCACACAGTGGATGCTGTAGAAGCCTGACTAATCAAAAGGAGCAGGAGGGAGAAACAGAGCAAGACTAGAAGAGGGTAATGCAAAGGGCTGCATCCTGGCCCAACCCATCTCCTTCCGTCCACATAGACCTTTCCCTTTCATGCTTGCCTGCCCTCCACTCCCAGCCCCTAGCCTCACTAGCTGTCTCTTCTAATTCTTTCCTTCTGTTTTTATCCCTGCCCTCTCTCCTGCCTTCTTCCTTTATAGCCCCTAGCCCTGCTCTTTCTCTCCCACTTACTCTTTATCTTGCTGTTTCTCTCCACTCTCAGCCTCCTGCCTCTCTCTTTCTCTTCACTCTGCCCCTTTGCCTTGCTTTCTTGTCCTGCTGATCAGAAGGAACAGGAAGGAGAACTTGTCACCCCAACCATTTTCTTTCTTTCTTTTTAAAGGGCAGGGGTGAAGAGCTTTGCAGATACCATGACTCCCATGACTGCTGTGTTGGGAATCCCTGCTCTATACTGCAGAACCAGAGTACCACCTGCTGTGATCCTTAGCCCATCCCAGGCAACTAACAATTAGCTTTCCTCATTTGTTTCCCCAGCCAAGGATCTGGTCGCCCGTCTGATGGAGGTGGACCAGGACCAAAGGATTACAGCAGAGGAGGCCATCTCACATGAATGGTAAGTGTGCTGTAGCTTCTTTTGACAAAGGATGAACTTACAAACAAAGTAGAGTGAAATGAGACCCAGAGGGAAGAAAAGTGGAACAGACATTGGCAGACAGTATTGCCTCTTCATGCCAGAGAAAAGCCTCAGAAGATCATAACACATAGAATGAAATGGGACAGAGAGCTGGACTTCATATTAGTCTCCTCCAACCTGGTATCCGCCAGATGCTTTGAACTACAACTCCCAGCATTCCTGATCATTGGCCATGCTGGCTGGAGCTGATGGGAGTTGGTGCTCAGTACAGATTGGTTTAAGTGAAAGATAAGAGTATCACGGTCATTGCTAGCTGTCTTCTTCCCACTTAGGTCTCAACAGGCTATACCAGTAAGAGAAGTTAAGCAAGAAAGTTATACTGAGCAGGGTTTATTGCCCAGAAGCATAACTCATTGTCTTATTTTTCTCTCTTCAGGATTTCTGGCAATGCAGCTTCAGACAAGAACATAAAGGATGGAGTATGTGCTCAGATTGAGAAAAACTTTGCAAGGGCAAAATGGAAGGTAATATGGTGCTGGCAAGGTCCTTTATTGTACTTGAGAAAGTCTGACTTGGCCCTAAGACTTGAGGAGACCCATTCCAAATTTCCCACTCTGTTTCTTTCCTGGTCTTCCAACAGTGGCAGGTATTTTCTTTTATTCATGAATGGATACACAAGGAATTCATCCTAGCTTAGTACAGATGGATAAAAGATGGAATTGCCATTGTCTATTTTGCAAAACACTCGCAAAAGTATCAATAGTGTGACTGAGTGATTAGAGCAGCCTTCCCCAACCCGGTAGCCTCTACATATGTTGGAATGTAACTTGCATCACTCTGAGCCAGTGTTGTCAATGGTATACTAGGTTGGGAAAGGTTACACTGGAGTGCTGGATTCCAAACCCAAGCTCAAATCTGCTTATAAACAACACTCACTGAATGCCCTGGAACCAGTTTCATGTCTTAGCACAGTTGCCTTATAGTTGTGAAATAAACATTATTAACTCAGATATTGGTAATGTAATATTTCTAATAACTTTATCATTAAGCTACAATTGCATTAACATTTGACTGCAAGTACCAGTCATTGAACTCAAATGGGCTTACTTCTGAGAAGATATGGCTATTCCACTATGCCTTAATTTTATTAACTCTATTAGGTCCACGTGTTACTAACTTTCTATGAAACATTGCCTTTAAACCCTCTGCTAATATTACTTCCGACATTTTAGGGGTTTATTTCCATGTCTGTATCCTATTATTTTCTATTTGTTGCTCCTTTAAAATGAAATACTGTATGCCAAAGTCTTTCTCCTCTTCCTTCCCCCTGGGTCTCATCTCACTCTACTTAGTTTGTAAACTCATCCTTTGCCAAGAGAAGCTACAGCACACTTACTATAGGCAATGGGAAATGGCCTTCTGGGATTTGGATGAAGTAGATACTGTGCAACCCCACCTGAGCTCATCTTCTTGGCAGAGGGTCAGTCTCTAACCAGAGCTCTTCGGTTTCTAGTTCCAATGCACCATGGAAAAAGATGCTTTAATGGGGACTGGGGGCACTCACCACCTTGTCTTCCCCTGCCCAAGGTAAATTCTATGGGTCTGGGCAACAGCAAAGGGAAGCAGCAGCAGCAGATACCAGGCCTTTTCTGAATGAGCACCCCAAAACATAGAAACATAAAAAGAAAGGGAGTCAGAAGGGGCCTTCTGGACCATCTAGTCTGACCCCTGGCTCCGCTCATGTAATCCCCAACAGCCTTGCTCATCTCTGAAGCCAAGAAAATATTAGTAATGGTTCTTTCCAATTAGCTATGAGTGGCAGCTATTTACTTGTTAAACACTAGTAAAGTGTTCCTTACTACAACAGAAGCTGCCCTTAATTAATACAAGTTGCCCTCAAAATAACATTTTTATAAGGGGTTTAAAATATTTAACTATATTTAAATATAATTTAAGAGTGAAATCCTATGCAAGTTTTTTTTTCTCTTTAAACTAATATAGGATTGCATTTTATCTAAAAGTCAAGTGGTTAAGTTACTTAAAACATCTAAATTGGTTGGCATCCCGTGATTGCAGTTTTTGAAGGCTGCTGCTCTTCACTAGTAAGCACCAGAATGTATACAGTCATAATAACCATCTTGAAGTGTAATGTATACCGCAATACATTTAACAGGCCTAGTTATTTGCTTTCCACTGCTTTAGCCTTGAGGTTCTATTATACCTGGTCTTTTTTCTCAAGTGTTTGTCTGCAGTCACAAGCACAGAAAGCACACTTAAAAATAAAGCTGAGATTTTCCAGTGTGAACACACCAAGATTATTAAAAAAGAAAAAGAAAATGCCAAAGATATGTTGCATAAGTATGAGTTGCTGATATCAGATTGTGGAGGGGAGAATCTGTGGAATTGAGGGGCCATGCTTCTTCTTTGGCCTCATAAAGAACCCTTGAGAGAGCATTGTCTCTCTCCCTCCCTCCCTCCCTCCCTCCCTCTCTCTCTCTCTCTCTCTCTCTCTCTCTCTCTCACACACACACACACACACACACACACACACAGCAAACAGCAACTACCTTTCTTTCACCAACCTGCAGAAAGCTGTAAGAGTGACTACAATGATGAAGAGACTCCGGGCACCAGAGCACACAGATGCAGCCAAGCCAGCCACAGCCACAATAACAGATGGTGCTACCACGACAGAGACGGCCAGCACCCTGCCGGCTAAAGCTGAAGCAGATGGCACTGCTCCAGCAGCCAGTGAAGCAGCCCCAGCGACCACAAAGGCAGCACCGGAGCCTGCAGCAGCCAGCCCAGAAGCTACATCAACAGCAGCTCCGGCAAGCACAGCAGAAACTCCAGCTCCAGCATCAGCGGCACCCGCCACGTGTAACGGGGAAGAAACGGCCGCTCCCAGTGCCACCCCAGAGTCCTGGAATGAGGAGACTGGCTGAGCCGAAGGGGAGCAGAGGGCAAGGGCAGGGTTGTGCCTCTCTTTGTTGTAACTCTCTCTGTAAATAGTCACTGGCATGGTTACCCCCAACTGTCCTGGCTTCCCAACCAACCCCTCTGCGTGTGGCTGTCAGTTTGTCTGACTATGTGTCTCCAGCTAGGTGCCAGCAGAGTTTCTGTTTTTTATGTGACAGAGTCCAAATGGACCCAGGTGGGCTCAGGTGAACAGGTGGTTGTGGAGGCCCAGCCTATGGCATGAAATTCTCTCTCTCCTCCCCTCACCCTTCTCCTTTTCTTTGTTGCTTTCCCTTATTCCCTTCCATTGATTTTGTTTATTAGTAGCTGCCTCCAGGGCATTTAATGCCTTTCTTGACTGCCTTTTGAGACTACAGTCTTGCCAGGCATTCCCTCACTCATCATCCAGCTTCTGGGCATGGCTGCAGCAGCCAGAGCAAGCACAGCAGTAACTCCTTCAGCTGGCTGAGATACAAAGGAGGAAGCGGTGTGAGGAACAAAGATACAGATCAGGGGGCTTTGGATCAGACATGCATGTATCAGAGGTGTGTGGCATTCAGAGGGTCCACTGCTGGCAACAACGTCTGTAGCAGCTTGCCTCCCTGTCCACCACTGGGGTGTGCGTTACCATAAGCAATGAATATCCACATGCGGTATTTGCGTGTATGAGGCCTTGTACAGCACCCCAAACATATTTACAAATGAGAGAATAAGTAGGTATCCATTTATTGGGGTGGCTACAATCCTGCCGTGGACCAGGGGGAATCTCTATGAACTGAGGAGCAAGTCACCTGTGAGCAGGCTGGACAAGGAAGACAAAAGGCAGGTGGGAATAAGGCATCATCATGATCTCAGACTTGCCATATTACCCCAAGAACTCAGGACAAATATAGTGCTGTACTATTAGGGATTATGGAAGCCTAGAATGAGGTCTGGTTATTTGCAGCACTTGCTGGGAGATAATGCAGCAGAAGAAGAAGATCTGGGCGATTTCCAGATCAACACTGCAGCACAGACAGGCAGACCCTATGGGTGGATTCTTCTGCTGTTCTACCACTGAGGATCTGTACTAGCCTTGTCTGAATGATGAGAGAGTCTAAGTTGGTTCCAGAGTTTTGTAATCCTGCAGCTACAGAATACGTCTTCATTAGGTAAAGTGACCAGATACAAAGGGGATGCTCTCCTGTATCTTAAATGCATAGAAGGAGGGATTTCTATAGTAGTTATTTCTCCCTTCTAAATGAGTAGCTGCACCTGGACAAACTCCCTCTGTGACAAATGTGAAGGTTTCCTACACATAGCATTTAAGTGGAACAGATCTGAAAAGCTAGTAGCAGTGGCAAGAAATAGGGTACAGAAGCAAGCAAGACTGGGGAGGGGATTTGTAGAAAGAAACGATTTGCGGGAGTCAGTGAGTATAGGAGAGAGACACGCATTAGCTTGCTATGAAAGGAAGAGAAGCTTTATACACTAAGCCAGCCTCCCCAAACCTGCTACCCTCCAGATACATTGAATTACTACTCCCATCACTCATACTTAGCCTGGGAATGGTGGGAGTTGTCATCAAACGCATCTAGAGGGCAGCCAGTTAGGAAAGGCTGCACTAACCCTCTATTGCATTTCTCCTCCAGAACGGCAGTAAGCAAGGAACTCTATGGCAGTGGATGACAAGAAAATACTGTTCCCCTTCCTCCTGAAAGAGGTACACTGTGTTCCAGAAGCTAGCATTCCTAAACTTGTGTAATAAACACTGCAATAATCATTTGTTATGATTCTGTTCTGCTGCGTCCCTGTCAATAAAATAGATTAAGAGGCTTCTCTGTACCCAGAGATATTGCAAAAATAACTGTACTTTGTACATGTGGAAATGTAATGGTTCTATATTTCTTACAAGATTTGCTTATCTTGTTATAAAAGGTATAACAAGCATGTTATAAAAGGTGCATTGTTATAAAAGGTGCATTGCACCACAAGGAAAAGTTAGTAAGCCATGCTTCAGAGCCCTTATCATTGCAAGATGTTCATTCAGGCCATGAGCAAAGATCAGAGATCAAATAATCAATAGCTCTACCACAACATATATAATAGGAGTCGAATAGCAAAATCCTGGACATACATACTTATAACCAAGTACCACTGAATTCAATAATGTGTGCTTTCAAGTAAGCAAGCACAGAATCAACAGTGAATGAATCTGAGAGCTGGGCGAACCTCAAACTAAAGCTGTAGAAAAGGATGCAGTTTGGAGAAGGATGCAGGAGAGGTGTGCTGTCCAATTCCTCAATCCAGCCCTGCATGTGGAGCTGGTGCACTGGCCCCATCTCCCAAAGTCCAAAGGCTTCGTTCAGTAGGGCATTCCCCAAACAGATAGATGGTGAAGGCAAGGCTGGTGGGCCAGCTCCATATGCATGGTCGGATTGGGTCTTCCACTCATCCCTACTTGCCCCTTGACAGGGGAGACAAGATAGTGGCTCCTGCTGCATGACGGGACTTGACCAGGTCCTCATATTACTTTGCAATGTGCCACAGTCTGATTTTATTATAGCCGTACAGCACAACAAATTCTTCTTGAATGTGCTCTCACATGATAAACATAGGCATTAGTCACAACCAGGCAAACGAGGTTTCGAAAACTTCCTTTACTGTGAGCTCTGGGTGAAGGCTTGAATCACACATGCAGTAGACCCGTGAGAACTGCCATCACAATCCCTGTTCCTATTGCCACTAGTAATCACATGGCAGGCACAGTTGCCAAAACCGTGCCAGAAAACGTACACAAGCAGCTTGCTACATGGAGCACCTTTGGGGGGCTGTTTTCATGCAGTAGCAGCATCCTGATTGTTTCTAGATACAGTTTGCTATGTTAGAAAGCAAACAGTATCTTTTCTGTCAACTACTTTGGGATCTAGAAACAGGCTTTTTTGAGCCATAGGCTCCATGCCCCACAAGGAACAGAATTACGTATTAGCACCTATATCCTACTCAAAAGCTTAACTCTAGAATAATACTCCTCACCATACTGCATACTCCTTCATATACAGCAGTGTAACAAAAAGAGCCTGCTGGGAATGGCAGGTGACAATGTAGTGAAAGAAACAACTCCAAGCAGAAAAGTCTTGTCGGTTTTTGTGCATTAAACTTTCCAGCTGTCATCACCCACCCTAATAGCCCAGGAGTGGAAACAGTCGTTCTGCTTCGAGTTGGTTCCTGCACCACCTCTCTGTTGTTGTTTTCTTTCTGCCCACTCCCTGAAAAAGAGTGTGAACTCCACAGATATTGGCATGAGTGGCCAAAATGGCTCGTCTCACTAACACTGCTATGGGAGGAAAAATGTTGTGTGAACTGGATGCATGCAATATACACGTGATTCATGCGGCACGTAGGTAAGTGTGAGATTAATACATCACCCCATGTATGGTTTGTGATAGTATGCACAATAAACAGAAAGCAGTCTATTGATTGTAGTTTGCATACATGTTGCATGTCTTGGTCTGCACATTCATGTCTTACATGAAAGCACAGGGATACAAATGCCAGGCTCTTGCGACAGTAACCATTTGTTCCAAGATGGCTTGTTGTGCCGGGGTCGTTAGAAAAGCAGCAGTGCCATGTAGCTGTATCACAGCTTTGGTTCTTAAGCAAGGTACTTAACTGTATTGGGGTACACAGCCCTGGCCGGCTCTGGGCTCTAACCATTACAACTGTCAGTACTGAGAATGGCACTTAAGCAGATTGCTTCTGATATGTCTTGTACACAACCATTTTGCAGATTAAAATGGTGAAGTCTGATGTTTATTTCAGCTGCTAAAATACAAAAGTTCCTTTTTTTAAGGCTAGAGGAAGTTTCTCTTATTTTCTGACATTTTCCCACATGATGAATGTTCCCACCCCCCAATATAGATCTGTTCTTGTTGCTCAAGATTCTACATGAGGGCTGAGAATTAGGTTTCTATATCAGTATTCACCTTATTTTTAAATTATTCAAAACGTGCGCCCACATAGTCATTATTTTTAAAAGGCATTGCAACAGTGCTATGAACGAAAATGCTCTACAACCAGTCCAGTACCCAGATTGCCACAGGTGTACAGATTCCTCAACTTGCTGTTGTGCCCATTCAAGCATCAGAGACTGCTTGGCAGTGCGTTCTTTTCCATGTCTGCTGAGAAGTCCCACTGAGCTAGTAGGATGCATTCTCGGGTCAGGATCGCAGCCTTAAGCTGCAATACTAGATTCATTTCCTGAGAATAAACTGGGCTTACTCTGAAGTATAGATGTGCAGGATTGTATTTATCAGTCAGTGGGGGTTTTAGTTTTATTGTTGGCTTTCAAGCTGTCTGAGCCAACCAGGGAATTCTTTCCTTGTACATTCCTTGGTTCTAAGTATGACAACTTAAATAGGAACACACAGGTTATCTGAGTACCTTGCTCGTCTAAGAACAGGGAACATAAAAGAAGTGCCACAACAGCTTCAGAAGTATGAACAGCTATTTCTTATCGTAATGAGAGGAGCTATACGACCACATATACTCTGCTTAGCATCACCTGGGGAAGGGAATCACCTTTGCCATAAGCAAGGTCTGATTGACTCAAATTTCCATTTCCATTCCTGGTAAAAGGCCCAACCACTCAATATGCAGAAATCCAACAGCTATGATTTCCCCATCAATGCTTACAATGCTAACAGAAGTGGTACCTGTTAAGTTCATCTGTCACACACTTCTTAAAGGCAGAGCCTCTCTCAGGAAAATAGGTGGCAACCCTCTGCATGAGCCATAAACACCTTCTCTTCTCGTCACCGGGTCTTGCTATCCCAGGCTTTGTCCCAGACCAACTACAAGAATGGAATCCCGGCTCTTGTGAACAGTCAACATAATAAAACTCCCCAATGGGAGGTCTTCTCCACCACCCACCTGCCTCAGTTCCTGCCTCCCAGCATTTCTTCCCCTTCTCTTCCCTCACAAGCAGCTGCATGTTCGTAAGTTTGAG